CAGTTACTGTCACTTGCATTCTAAATCTTTAACAAACACCAACAAATATTTTAAATTTATCAAATTTCATCACAACATAATAATCTGACGAGTATGGGTGTGAAACCATAATTTCAAATGTTGGGGAGATTATACTTGAGCTAACATTCTCAATAATGCGAAAACTCTGAAACTAAAAAAAACACCTGAACAAAAGTAACATCTGTTCTAGAATCTGCAAGGCTGGAACAATCAAATTATGAAATCTAAGAAGAAAATCCGTGAACAACGTCTATTGCATCTTGCTACACTGTTCTGAATGATAACAGCTTACATTTTGCGCGCGGTGCGTGATTTTGGCAACACCGGTAGCGCGTTCCTTTTTTCGCATAACAACGTCTTATAGTCACTTCACGGCAAATTACAACGGAAGATTTTGCAGAAATCAAAAAAAAAAGCTAAAATGAAAATACAGGATGAATATACTGCACCAGTAGCACCAGTATGAGAGATTTTCATATGCTTTACATATTTGCTTTACCGAAGCATTGATGATAAATGGGAAACAATACTGCGGAAGATCACAAATCCCAGAAAAACCAAGTTTAGGCAACACTTGATACTGAATTCTGATGTTAAGCCAATTAAACAACAAAAACAAATCGACAAACGTCATGATTCATACTATTTACAACAAATAACTAATAAGAAAAAAAACGCCTGATATTCAAGAACCCGAAAGTTAAAAATTAACTGTGGAAGACATCAGGAAAAGCTTTAAAATTGCTCACTTTTAATATGTTTATTGAAGTGCTGCCTCCAGAGTTACCATTGTAAAGACGCTATTGCGTCAAGCAGTAAGGACCCTTGGGCACAGGATCCCTATAGGACTATGACCGCGACTAGTCGCTCTCGCCAAATGGGAGATATAAAGGCGATGTTATGACTTATTTCCGCCATGGGATGAAAATCCCGATTTCTCACTCCCTTTCCATTAGCGACAGTCACAACATTGCTTTTACGACGGGGAAAATGAGTTACCTTTCTTACCGGCGTAGTTTTAAAATACATATTGAAATGCCTCTTGAAAAAAAATGGCAATAAATATCACTGCAGAGTTACCGGATATAAAATGTAAGCTATCCAGTGTTTTGAATTCCAAGTACCCCATCAGCATGCGTTTACATCAGCTACGTGCCTTCTTACTGAATCAACTCTGTACTGTCATATATGCCAGTACTAGTGATTTCGGTGATCCGCTTTCCCGCCAACTTATACTTGCGTAATTGATTAAACAGCTTATCCTGACATTAGTTTAGTTCTGCACTTATCGTAGGTTCCTTTGGTTCATCAACACATTTATTCAGTACCAGGAAACATTTTTTTAACTTACCGCAACCCAAATGCCCCAGCCGTTTCTCGTGCCTCCAAAAGTTAGTCCCTTCTTTTGAACGATG